GGATTTGAAGATTTGTTTCTTGAAAAGTATTGGGGAACAGGTAGAATTTCCAGGCAGAGTACACTATGGCTTTTCGGGTTTTCAAGTATGTTTGTTACTCAAACAATGCCTCTCACATGCTTTTTCATTAAAGTCATGCACTTGATTTTGCAATTGTTTTCTGCTTCATATGCCAACATGCTTGCTTCTTTATTTATGTCCATGTGGGATGAAAAACCTTTTTTATTGGTCAATTATGTTCTCTTGGTTTTTTGTTTTTTTAAACTATCCACGAACTACTTGGAAGCTTCTTCTCCTCTTTAATTCAATTGTTTAAATTATCATTTTCTGTTAGTATAGTTTTGCCATTGTTCTATTGAGTATACTGTTGTTTCTATTAGCTTAATGCCAGCTTTGAAGGTTGCAGATTGTGAAGTAAGTTACTGCTACTGGTTTTATGTTTGGTGTGGATGATTTTTCAAACTGCATGTACAATTGCTAAGTTCTGACTTCTGACTGCTTAAGTTTGCAATACTTGTCCAGTTGTCCTTCAACTTTCCCATTTTTATTCTCACAAACCTCTTCCCTTTACTTACAACAAAACATAAGAAATTCTTTTATAACTTCCTTCTCGTTCATTCCCCCTTTTGTCACCTCACTTTGTCCTCCTCAGTATTTCTCTACTTTTCCTGCAAAATGGCGTTCATAGATTCATGCCTATTTCAATGATTAGCCAATTAGCAAAAAGGTTTTTTTTTTTTAAGGAAAAAGGAATTGTCATGTTCTTGGATTCTTTTGAGTTCAAATTTCTCTATATGGAAAATTGTGCTAAACAAATTGCTATGGTGAAAATGTTTTATCAAATGGGAATGATCCACCCTACCTTGCAAGAATATCAGGACATTTTGTCCCTTGTTTCTGACACTAGTAGCTTGGATTGGTTTTTTTACAATTATTTTACACAACACCAATATTTGGAGGCTGTCAAGAAAAGCTGTCAAGGTTTTCTTAACAGCCTAACAATATGGAAACCATACCTTTGTCAATGTCTGAGGCATCTGGATCAATGGGAGGCAGGCAAGAAGTTGTCGTGGTGAAACTCTTCACATCTTTGATTGTCTTCGTGTGCGGCTGGGCAACTCATTGTTCCAAGGTATGAGGTGGATCCTTCTACCCTTGGTTTGAGTCAGAGATTGCTTTAGCTAATTGATTTGGTTTTTGTTTTTTGTATTAACCTTTTGGTATCCGGTAATCATAGTGGGTTCCAACTAATCTGAAATCAAACCGTCTTGGATCCCATAAGGGGAAGTCTCCTAGCTTCGGTTTTTCTATTCACAAGATTCAAATTCGAGACTTTGCTTAAAGGAAACTGAGGTCTTTGTACTTTGACTAATAAATCATTGGTTTTAGCTAATTGATTTGTTCCAATTAATATTATAGGCTTCGGAGTTTGTCAGAATTGTAGCATTAACCCTTGGTTTCAGACAGAGTTATTGCTTTAGCCAATGATGTACTTCTGGGGCTGTATAGGCAAGAAATTGAGTATTGGATCGATGTTCCTTCGAATTTTAGCTGATTGGTTGATTTTTATGTTTCGATGGATCCCAAGAAGTCATAAGATGCACGAAGAGTTGGCATATCTTTGGAAGCCAACTTAATAAGTGGTGGGGCCGTTGAGACTATAGCTCTGCCTTTTGCTTTCTCCGGATGGCTTGTATCTGTTGGGTCAATGAAACCTAACCTTTATTTCTCCTTTTCATATTTTGGGTATGAACTCTTCAGATATTTATTTTTTATTTTCATTTTTTTCTTTCATTTTCTATGAATATATTCATCCCAAGATGTCGTCTTAGCGGTTGTAAAGGCTTGAACTCCTATATGTTTTATTGTATAAATATGGTTTTTTTTTTTTAATGTGAAAAATGCAATGATGTTCATTATTTGTATGCAAATGAAAGTTGAAGACTGAAGTTTTCATTTATTAATAACAAATGCTGGATTCTAAGTTAATCTAATATGAAACGAATGTTTGATAAGGGATTTTGCCATCAACAATTTTTTTCTCTCTTCTTCAATTGTTAAGAAGAAATATGATTTAATTGAAGTAGTTTTGTACTTTAATTAAATTCACATCAAGGAATTCAAAGAATTTAATTCATCTATTTATTTATTTTTTC